TATATATATATATATATATATATATATATATATATATATATATATATATGTGTTTGTTTGTGTGTGTGTGTGTGTATATGTATGTATGTATGTATATATATATATATATATATATATATATATATATGTGTGTGTGTATATATGATTTTTTTTATAGGTAAATTAAGGTTATACTGTGTGTTAATTGCAGAGTTCCTCTGTTAAATAATGCCCTGCAAGTTCTGAAACAAATCAAGCCTCAGCAAAGCTAAGCACAAGTTACTTAAAATCAATGTAATGCATTAATTTCAATTAAAAAGAAACGTGACTACTTACTTTTTTGGGGCATAACTGAATATTGTAATGCATCACTTTCAAAAGTAACTGCTCAAAATATGCAGTAAATCTGCAGCAACAAAAAAAATAAAAGAGTATCTGCAATATTCGCTTTAATTTGTTTAATTTTTTCTCCTTTATTCTACAGCGGAGATGCTCAAACTAGGGCCTGTGGGCCAGAGCTGACCCATGATAACCCTTGATTTGGCCAATCATCCCCTCTGAGAGGAGAGTAAAAATAAAGGGGAGGGTCGGAGGGGAATTATCTTTTATTAATTTAACGTAACCTTTAATTAGTTTGTTTAATTGTTGAGCTACAAAAAAGCAAGCTTGAATTAAAGGTTTCAATTAGATGTTGTGAATGGATCAGATTAATTTAAATATGCATTAAACTCCATGGTGTTCTAAATGGGACCGTTTCTTTTCATTGTAATTTAATTATGAAAAGTACAGAATTATAATGCAATAGTTAATCTAATATGATTAAAGTAAAGCTTTCTATTTATTTAAAATTAGGAAAGTTCCCATGGCTACTCTGTAGGACAGTTTGCTAATATTTACCTTCAACCCACAGCCCTCAACACTGTTTACATTTAAAAGTTAGCTTCTTACAGTAACACTCCATTCACACAGGGCTTCAGCGTCAACGCTTGACTGAAGGCGTGTCTGAAGTTGGGGCTGAAGCAATCGTCATGGCAGCGTCAGCCAATGAAATTCAGTCAGCAATAGGCCCACTGTCTAGCTGGTGTATTTGCATACAGCGATCTGATTGGCTGACGCTTCCTTCGGCGCTTAAAGTTTAGTTAGTCCCAACTTCTGCAGTGAGCAACGCCTCTGAAGTGGCGCAGACAGATCCACAATGCAGTTCAGCAACGCCTGACGTCACCCATTCAAAGTGAATGGAAAGCGTTGACGCTGACGCCCCGTGTGAATGGAACGTTACAAATGTCATGTGGCCCATTTCCACTGAGTGGTACGGTACAGGTCGGTACAGTCCTGGTTGACGTATAATGATCTGGGCGTGTCTCGCTAAGAAAGTTTGTGCACCGCTGTTCAAGAGGGTCTGCCTGATATTAATTTCAGCTTTACAAAACTGCTACTTGTGCTGCAAACTGGTATTTGGTGAAGTGTTTGATCTGATGATGATGATGATGATGATGATGGTGTGTGTTCAGAGATGTGTTCGAGGAGCTGTCGGAGCTGGAGAAGGCCGGAGTGAACACAGATGGAGGTCGGACGGTGCTACAGCCGCTATAAAATTCTCTCCATGTGGATCCTGAACTGAGCCGAGGGTAAACGCACACCCTCATCAGTGCTACTGAAGAACACACACACACACACACACACACACACTTCTGCTTCAGGCACTTTCCTCTTCTGTTTCCCCCCGTGAAGAACTGTAGACCCGCAGATATAGATGTTTCTAGAGACTCCTAAAGGTACGAACTGTTTCTGGGGGAAGCGATGGGAAATAAATAACAGAAATATGATGAGTTTGGGTTAAAGATTTGTCCTTCGGGCTTTAATATGATGAAGTCCACTTTTTTGGTAAACTTTTATGCATTAAGAAATATTTGATGAGTTTGTTCCTGTTTTTTCTGTTTGTTTCTCTCTTTCCAGTCCACAGATTTTAGATTTTTCCTTTCTAATCTATTGCATATAAAGGTTTATTCTTGTATATGTGGTTTGGGAGGGCGTCTGGTTTCCTGTTTGATATGCAGCTGAACATGTGGTGCAATATTTTTGCTTTTATATCTATCTATGATCTATAGCGATGACGAGAGGCTAGTGCTGGTTTATATATCCGAGGCTTTACTGATGACTCCATCACTTTATTTTACTCTTATTTTATAACAAGCGCTCTCAGTGGTATGGATGTAGCTTGTCTTTGAGGATTGTTGAACACCGACAGCCCCTGCTTTCGTTTTCCTTCAGTGTGTGTATCTGGAGCTGCAGCCGTTGTGTGAAGCGTCAGCCGCTGTTATTTATTTCAGTCTACTGTACGGTGTTCTGGTTTTCGTTGTCTTCACTCTCTTTATGTGTGTGTGTGTGTGTGTTCCGTTCTGCTCATCGCGTCTCTTGATTGGACGAGTGTGTGTGTGTATGGTGTTTCCGGAACAGTGCTATAAGCTCTACCCAACTGCTTAGTATTCAGTCTTTGACTTCCTTACACACGTTTTAAAATAAACTTTATTTAGAAAACAGAAAACTCCAGCTTGTTTTGTGGTTTTGATTCATCAGTAGTGCATCTCCGCAGCAAATGTCCCGCATTTATGCTCTGTGTGTGCATCATCTTTTGGTGAGCGGCTCCAGATGACTGCCTGTTAGCCTGTTGAACTCGCTGAGAATGTAGCTCTCCTTCTGCTGCATCTGCGGGAAACAGAACTGCAGGAGTTATTGGAGAAATCTGATAATATTGCAATATTTAATTTGTCTGCGTTAATTATTGTGATATGAATACACTTTGAATAGCTGTGTAGGGAGCCTAACCAATATTCAAGTAGGGAAGCTGAAATGCAATGCAGAAAATGCTTTGCACTAAATACAATTCACTAGCTCATGATCAACTATAATCGACTATCGTGAAGAAAAACTTGATTTTTTGGATACACTGTGTAAATTCTTCATCTTCATTTTCTTGTCGGCTTAGTCCCTTTATTAATCCGGGGTCGCCACAGCGGAATGAACCACCAACTTATCCAGCGAGTTTTTACACAGCGGATGCCCTTCCAGCTGCAACCCATCTCTGGGAATCATCCACACACACACTACGGACAATTTAGCCTACCCAATTCACCTGTACCACATGTCTTTGGACTGTGGGGGAAACCGAAGCAACCCACGCGAACGCAGGGAGAACATGCAAACTCCACACAGAAACGCCAACTGAGCCGAGGATCGAACCAGCGACCTTCTTGCTGTGAGGCGAACGTGCTACCCACTGCGCCACTGCCTCGCCTGTGTAAATTCTGTATAAATAAATGCAATGAATCGTCACCTCCAGCCATAAAGGCGACCCGTACTGCAACACACCATACCCCTCAGTGTAAACGAGGCATTTGTGGTGCATAATATCAGAAAATAAAGATTCTAAGCTTTCATGTGCTACCATGTGTAGAGATACTGGCCCACCAAAACCTAAAAAAATGTGTCAAAGGTAACCCAAGATGTAGAATACCTCCTGCTGTCTCTAGAGCAGGGCTGGGCAAACTCGGTCCTGGAGGTCCGGTGTCCTGCACAGTTTATCTCTGTCTCTAATCAAAAACACCTGCTTATAGATTTCCAGTGATCTTGAAGACGCTGATTAGCATGTGCAGGTGTGTTTGATTAGTGTTGGAGCTCAACTGTGCAGGACACCGGCCCTCCAGGACCGAGCTTGCCCACCCCTGATCTAGAGTGTGTGTTTGAGAATAGCACACAGACGTTCTCTAACTCTCTCCTTTCAGGTTTTGATCCTAATTGTGTTGTTTTAAATGCAAATGAGGTGCTCTTTATCTTCTTTAAGCACTGGTTTACTTTTCCACTTTTCCCACAAGCCTTATGAAATGTATTTACTGTAAAGTGTGTGTGTGTGGGGGGGGGGTACCTCGTTCCACTCCTCTTCAGTTTCATGTCTGTATCCCAGTAAATGACAGATGCCATGAGCCGTGACCACCTGCGACACACACACACACACACACACGTACGTATATCAGCAGGACTGAAAACACTGAACACACTCAGGCCATGTTCACTCTAACTTTAAAGCAGGGGTGTCCAAACTCGGTCCTGGAGGGCCGGTGTCCTGGAGAGTTTAGCTCCAACCCTAATCAAACACACCTGAACCAGCTGATCAAGCTCTTACTAGGTATACTAGAAACCTCCATGCAGATGTGTTGAAGCGAGTTGGAGATCAAGTCAGCAGGACACAGACCCTCCAGGACCGAGTTTGGACACCCCTGGTTCAAAGCATATTTTTTCTCTCCATTTAGTCCTTCCGTCCACACTGAGACTCGAGTTTAGGAAACTAAAATGCATCTTTTTGAAAACACTGTCCAAAGAGGATAAATGTGGAAATAGAGGCTTTGGAAAATGATGATCATTTTAGTCATGTGACCAATCTAGCTAACATGCTGGAGGACACTGTTGCATTAAAATGCATTAACGAGCAGTGGGACAGGTGTACCTAATAAAGTGGCCGGTGAGTGTATACATGTTTACTTTGCACACTTTAATCCTCATTTAATATTATGAATGTCAAATCTCATCTATTTGATTTAACTGCTTGGCCTAATCCAGGGGTGTCTGTCTCAGTCCTGGAGGGCTGCTGTCCTACATAGTTCTTCCTTCACACACCTCCCTGCAAGTGTCTAGTATACCTGATAAGAGCTTGATTAGATAGTTCAGGTGTGTTTAATTGGAGTTAGAACTAAAATATGCAGGACACCGGCCCTCAAGAACCAAGTCTGGACATATCTGGCCTGAACTATATTCATTCTGTGATGTGCACATGTGCGGTCATCGTTACCGTCAGCGTCTGGTGCAGATCCTGCTTGGTCTCTTTACACTGCTGCATCACGTACTCCACCCCTAAGAAGATGTCCCCTAGGTTGTACTCATCCCTCTGTAGGGCACACGGCACTTTTCCCGGCCTCAGGTCCTTCACAATGACACAAACACAAGTCATTACTGTGCTCCGGTTAGTAATGGATTATAGGGATGACCAATATAGACACTACATTCACAAAATATATCACAAGATTGCTATGGTTGTTACCATAGCAACTGTAGAATCACCACAGCAGATTAATTGCAACAGTTGTCATGTTACTGTAGCAACAGTAGAATCACCACAGGATTACTATTGTTGTTACCATGGCAACTGTAGAATGACCACGAGATCAATTACTATAGTTGTTGTGTTGCCATAGCAACTGTAGAATCACCACAACAGATTAATTACAATAGTTGTTACCATAGCAACTGTAGAATCCCCACAGCAGATTAATCACTATAGTTGTTGTTACCGTAGCAACTGTAGAATCACCACAACATATTAATTACTATTGTTGTTACCATAGCAACTGTAGAATCACCACAACAGATTAATCGCTATAGTTGTTGTTACCATAGCGACTGTAGAATCACCATAACAGATCAATTACAATAGTTGTTGTGTTACCATAGCAACAGTAGAATCACCACAGCAGATTAATCACTATAGTTGTTGTGTTACCATAGCAACAGTAGAATCACCACAGCAGATTAATCACTATAGTTGTTGTGTTACCATAGCAACAGTAGAATCACCACAGCAGATTAATCACTATAGTTGTTGTTACCGTAGCAACTGTAGAATCACCACAACATATTAATTACTATAGTTGTTACCATAGCAACTGTAGAATCACCACAACAGATTAATCGCTATAGTTGTTGTTATCACAGCAACTGTAGAATCACCACAGTAAATTAATCACTATAGTTGTTACCATAGCGACTGTAGAATCACCACAACAGATCAATTCCTCTAATGTATAAGCACTACAGTATCGTTTATTTTATATTATGTTTAAGTGTAACCACTGAGGCTGTTCTTGCTCCAGTCTGACAGCCGCGGTGTGTACCTCATAGAAGGGGAAGGACAGCACGTCTGTGGGCTGATTCCTCCGCCGGTAAGTGTGGTTGATGCGCTGGATCTTGCGGTTGTCCACGCAGATGATGCCCATGTCGAACTTCTGCACGCCGAAGATGTGTCTGAGGATCTCCACATCCCTGCGGAGCCGCGCGCGCCTCACCGGAACCACATTCTGTAGATTCCGAACAATAACACCCATCACTGACCGCACCACCGGCGGGGGGAAGGCTGACCAACACACCGGCAACACCGTCGAAACATCTAACGTTACAGGGGACACGCGGGGAAACAGCGGTCATTTCCAACACACTCACATGATCTTCACTTTCACCCTGTTCATTGATTCGGAAAGTGATTCTGCGCATGCGCTTGAGCAAGTGAACTTAAAGGGATACACCCGCGGCCGGAAGTTAACGAGAATTGCTTGAATTGTTTCTTAAATTGTATTTTATTAACTGCAACTCAACCGTCACACTAATGTAAAAACTAATTATACCGAGTATTGTTCATATTATTTGTTACATTACTCATTTAATTAACGTCCTACACCTAACCTCAAACACAACCCGCAAAGTAATGTAAAAAGTAATTATACAGAATATTATTCAATAAATGACCCATTATATAACATTTTATAAATTTCTAACCATAAACACAACCCTCACATTAATTTAAATATATAAATGATTGTTGTACAGTGTCACAAAATTATGCTGTGAGTATCCGCAGCTGTATCTCTTCTAGACTACACGTCGGGAAACTGTCAAAATAAAAGTCTACTAGTTTTGTTATTTATTTTATTTTAGGTTTGTTTGACAACTGACAGATACATTGCACGTAATATACGTAAAATAATAGAGAAATATACAAGTTATGTGTCAGAATTAGTCAGATTGATATTTTGCATCTGCAGTCCCTGGACTGATGGTAAAATAATCACCCTAAAAATATAATTAATATGCTTCAAATGCGAATTTGCACCATTCCTAAAAAATGAACAGTTCACAAATTTAATTATACGCTACCTAAAACTAGAATCTCACTCAAACATACACACCTGTGAGGGGAAAATGACAAATAAATCACCAATAATAAAACTAATAGATTAATAAAACCGTTGGACAGTTAATTACCTTAATAGACATTTTACAGTTATTTGTTGAAACACTTTTGATCATCTTTTTTTATTGTTATTATTTCGTATTTATTTCGATTAGATCGTGACGTTGACAGGAAGTTGAACGTAGGAGCTTCCGACAGCGCTTGTGGATTCCTGCTGGAGGTCACTTTGCTTTAAAAGGTAATTCATGCCGACATTCAGCGCACAAACAAACATCTTTTGCTGCTGTTTTAATATTTACACTCTGATGGCGTATTAATGTGGTCGTGAGAGCAGCTATGCTAGTGATTAGCTCGTGTGTTTATGTCTGCGCGACTGAAGCGCTGGTCAGTCGCTTGTCCACTGCTCACATTATGAGTTTAGCCGCTGTACACATCTCTGCTGTACATTTTAGCCTGCTGATGTGTTTTTGGACGTGTTTTTGTGTAATGTGACTCGCTCGTTGATTAGTCCCGACATTCATTAGACATTCGCTTTCAAACCAATTCAATTCTTTGCTCCTGTTATAGTTTCAGCTGTGTCAGACATAAATATGTGCCCTTTATGCTGCACAGGGCTTCATTTCTAGATTTAAAATGAATGAGTCATACGAATTATACTATAAAACCAGGACCATAATGCTGAAAAAAAACATCCTGCTTATTGCACAACACTCATAATAATTCAAAAATAACTTTTAATGTAAAAGTCGATTAAACTCTGACACCATTTGTGATAAAATATTCAAATCAGCTCTAAACATGTCTAAATATGTTTAGATGGCGAGATGTCATCATTACTAACCGGCAAAAGTGCACTTCATGTTGAATATGAAATATAACTGTTTATCTGTTACGTTTTCTGTTACACTGACAAATAACCATCTGATCATTTTATCATATTTTAATATTATAATCTGTTGTGTTTTAGGCCTGTTGTTTTGTTCATTTCTGCACTGACAGCTTAACAGAAAGATCAACACTGATCTGCTTCATGATCTCATGCAGTCTCAGTTCATCTGTTATTGCTCTCTATAATTTAAGCCTATAATGCACAATTCTAGCTAAAGTGCACACGACTTATTTTATATATGAGCAATATCACACGAGTAGCAGTGCGATATGGCTCAGATTCGAGAACCAGACAGAACTGTTGTGTATGTATATGTATATATATATATATATATATATATATATATACACATCATAATAATATAATATATCATCATATCATAATTTTTTAATTTTAAATAAAAGTTATGCTGACTGAAAAGGTAAATGGTCTTTGTACACAATTATGTTTGGCTTAGGTTTTGAGCTTTTACTGCAAACGTCACATCCGTCAGAATTGCTCAGGTGTTTCTGCTAAAGCAGGGCGTCTCAACTGGTTTGGCCATCGACCCACATTTGGCCATGGTCATCAAGCCGCAACCCAAATGTTTAGGAACCATAATACAATTTATGGAATTATAAATAATTTGTATTTATTTGTGAACATACACAAGTAGTGACAGATAAATCTTAAGAAAATCACCAAGACCTACAAATAAACGATATTTTACTGCTGTCATTTATCAAAATGTATTAAATTATAGAAATATTACAAAGTAAAAACGACAAATACTGTAAACAGGGGTCAGGGTGAGGATAGGTTCAGTTAAAAACGTGTTATCTGCTTTCTAAATGTCGTTTTAATTTAGAAGGTTTCGTGCTCTCTTTTGAGAGCAGCTCGCTACTCATGACACTCTGAGGCTTCAAGTCTTTTTTGCCGTAAATATATGTAAATCCATACTTTACATATTTGGGGTCGTACTTGCTCTTCGACATATTTGTTGCTATAATTAAATATAATTTCACATGTCAAATGGAAGGGTTGTCGCGCACACATTTCAAAATAAAAGTCACAATAAGTTAAAAATGAAACTTTTGTTGTTGTTTTTGACCACACACTCCGCAACCCACTGAAAATGTTCCCACGACGCACCAGTTGAGAAACACTGTGCTTAAGCATTAATACACGGGTGGTTCTGTTGTCTGAAATAAAGCTCATGTGACATTACAACAGCTGTGTGTGTGTGTGTGTGTGTGTGTGTGTGTGTGTGTGTGTGTGTGTGTGTGTGTGTGTGTGTGTGTGTGTGTGTGTGTGTGTGTGTGTGTGCGCGTGCGTGCGTGCGAGTGTGTGTGTGCGTGCGTGCGTGCGAGTGTGTGTGTGTGTGCGCGCGAGTGTGTGTGTGTGTGCGTGCGTGTGTGTGTGTGCGAGCGAGTGTGTGTGTGTGTGTGCGTGTGTGTGTGTGTGTG